TCCACATTCTGGAGGACGTAACAATCCTGGTGGCTCCTGAAGTGCAAAGGGAGATTCCATTCCAAGGTACTGCTGACAAGCCGGCTGTGTATGCCACAGAGGTTTTTCAAGCTTGTGATGTCTAAGCAACTCATCTATGAATGGAATAGGCTGATGTCCTATAGACTCGGGCCCGGAAAATACACCCTTCCCTGAAATATGATTGCCTATTTGGAGTTCGTACTACGGGAAAAGTTTGCAGCTATCAGAACCTGCGATTGGGTCGAAATTCATGGTGGAAATCAACCGGCTGCTGCGTTAGCATCTGCACAGATTACTGCTTCCCTATGGCTTACAATACAGCCTACTCTGACTACATCTACCTACGGACTACATGCAAACACATACGCTAGCATGGCCTGCACAGGCAGCCCCCCCCTTCCCTGTCACATTTCTAGACTGTGTACCACCCGCGTATTTCAGACAGTGAATTCGTCACCCACGCACTACACTTCCGCGCGGTACAATTTATTGTTCACAGGTACACCGTGACGTAGGCGATTTGTACGGTGTGGTGTATGAAAATGGAAAGGCAATATCTGGGTCTTATATTTAACACCCCGACGCATCTTTGTAAGAACTTGCAGGTATCTAGTAGAACTGTAACGTTAAATGTTTGTTTCCCTGCTGTTTGCGCTTCCCGGTCTCCACTTTGAATTCCATGGGTGGGGTGGGGGTTGTAGGTATGTGGGGGGGTGAGGATTAAGACGCTGGTGTACATTTCGCCATTAGTGGGTACATGCTGCTTCCCACAGCTTGTAATAAACAGTGCGCTGGGTCATATACCAGAAACCCCTCTCCTCCCATTCGTACATTCATAACACCAGACATGGTGCCAAAAACCTACCAGGCTCTGAGGATACGTCTGCCCCTTCTGTTTCTGCTGCTGCTTCCACAGCTGGCTGCTCCTTTGGGGGGGTCATCAAACAGCTCCTGCCAGTGGGGACCCAGGACGTGCTGCAGCTGCTCCAGCAGCCAAACTATCTCAAGGACTGGCATGGGCCGCGTGAGCTAAGACGGCCGGAATAGGGGAGGCCCCATCACTTTTTACCTGCCTTAAGGGCGAACGACGGGGGGAGAGGGGGAGTAGGGGGCCGAAAGGAGGGAGCAGGGGGCATGGCCCCGGGAAGAGGCTGTCAGGTGGAGTGGGGGGTGGGGCCCCGGTTTGGGCGCCGGTGGCTCCCCCACTTCTAGGGAGCTTCTGGTGCTCCTGGCATGAGCACGGGAATGGCTGCGCTAATCTCCTCCGGCGGCGGCTGGCTCCCCTCCGGTGCTATACTAAATTCGGAGGTAAGAAGGTGGCCATCCTGGCTGAACAGGCTGGGGGCTCAGGGCTCAGTGCAGTGCCTTGTAAAAGCGGCAGGGGGATGGAGAGTTCCCAAAGGTGCGGTTCTCATCCCTGGCTTTCCAGTATTGGCTCTGGAGCTGTTTAACCTGCTCCCTGCAGGGCCGGCCTTAGGGGAAATGGTGCCCTGGGCAAACTTGTATTTTGGCTCCCGTGGGCACCACACCCCTGCGGGCTCCCCACCTCCGATCTTCCTTGGCCCCCACAGCTCCCCACCCCCCCTTCGCCCCTGGCCCCCATGGCTCCCCAATCCCCACTGCCACAGCCCCCCCCCCCGGTCCCCACCCCACCATGACCTCCAGGCCCCGCTGCCTCCCCCCAGTGCCTAATTTGTATAGAAAGAGGTGCCAGGGCTCACCCCAGCACAAATTAAGCACTGGCTGGGTGGCCAGGACTGGTTGGGCGCCCAGTTCTGAAGGCAACACTGCTGCCAGCAGCAGCACCAGAGGCGCCGACTCTGGACTGCCACCTCCCTCCCTCCCCCCAGCACCTCCGCCCACCGGCGGCCCCGCCGATCAACTCCTCCCCCTCCCTCCCAGTGCCTCCCGCCCGCCCCAATCAGCTGTTCCGCAGCGTGCAGCAGGTCCTGGGGGGAGAGGGAGGAGTGGGGACGGGGCGCGTTCAGGGGAGGGGGCGGAACTCGGTGAAAAGAGGCAGGGAAACTGGGTGGGTGGGGGCGGGGCCTGGAGCAGAGTGTGTGTGTGTGGGGGGGGGTTGAACACCCCTGGGGCCCGGCGGAAGCCGGCACCTGTGAGCAGCGCAGAAGTAAGGGTAGCATGGTATATAGCCACCCTTACTTCCGCACTGCTGCTGCGGCTTGTGGTGCCCAGCCTGCATCTCAAGGCAGGCTCTGCACTGTCACACGGGGGCTGCATCTTGCTGGAGCCCCTGGCCATCCTGCAGCTCTCTGGCCACTCCTGGGCCCCCCAGGGTGCCATTTCAGCTTTTGGTGGGAGGTGCAACTTTAACCTGAAAACTAGATTTTTTGCAGCTAATAACTTAGGAATTAGCAGACAGGAGCACTGTATCTAATTCCTATATTAAAAAAAAGAAAAAAAATGTATACCAACACCAATTAAAGCCACATTTTAAGTTTATATGGAAGCTTAGAACAATCAAGAGACGATACAGCAAGATATTCCCAATCCCAAGCCTTGAGGGATCAGTTCTGGAGCTTTAACACAGGTATCAGAAACACAAGTGTGATACTTTGCAGATTATCTTTAGGAGAGAGAAATAAAAATAAATAAAATCTGCTTGCTTTCTCTAACAGACACGGTGTGTTACTGCCATTATCTACTCTATTTTAGTCAATTGTTTTATCCACTCAAAACGTATTTACTTAATTTTAACATATGCGAGTGAGGGTTTTCCCCCTCTTTTATTAAGAACGGGAATTTAGTTTTCTAATTATTTTGGCGTTTATGTTTACCGATCACAATCACGTACGTGACTCACTAAGGGCAGGTCTACACTAACCCCCCAATTCGAACTAAGGTACGCAACTTCAGCTACGTGATAACGTAGCTGAAGTTCGAAGTACCTTAGTTCGAACTTACCTCGGTCCAGACGCGGCAGGCAGGCTCCCCCGTCGACTTCGCGTACTCCTCTCGCCGAGCTGGAGCACCGCAGTCGACGGCGAGCACTTCCGGGTTCGACTTATCGCGTCCAGATAAGACGCGGTAAGTCGAACCCAGAAGTTCGATTTGCTTGCCGCCGAACTACCGGGTAAGTGTAGACCTATCCTAACATTTGACTCCATCATTACTATTAGTATCAGACTTGGAACTGCATTTATTTTCCTATTAATTTGAAGTTATTTTACAGATATAACTAAAAATACCCTTTGAAAATAAGCGACCTTCATCTGCACAGTGTCTACAGTTATGTGTTTAGCTAATTTTTTTTTTTTGAACTGGCGTTGCTCAGGTGACTACAAGCTACATTTACATTCTAGGAGGACACTTTTATTTGATTGTACTACTTTAAATAATGAATGACAAAGCACGATATGGTAATAAAAGTACTAATGATAATTACTCCCGCCAGGACAGGTTAGGATTTTAGAACTCACTACTCAAAGAATTAAATTTAAGCATAAGAGAAAAAAAATGATGAAATGCACAGACCAGTTAAAAAACTAAAATAACAGCACTGTGATCCTTAACGAACTTGGAAAGAATATAATTACAAAGAATATATGTGCCTTGAAGTACCAAGAAGTAACAATAACAACAATAATATGCGTATGTGTGCGCGAGAGTGTTGGGGGAGTGAGTGTGGGTGGGTGTGTGTTGGGGGAGTGTCTGAGAGACTGTGTGTGTGTATCGGGGAAGTGTGAGTGTGCCAGAGTGAGTGTGTCAGCGCGCTGTCTCTTTAAGCAGCGCATTCAGGAGTTGGAACAGCAGCACCCACTCCGCACCCAAAGTCACCAGCACACACATGCTCCCCTTGACCCCCAGCTCAGCGGAGACCGGGTATGCAGGTGTGGGGAGGGGAACACCCTGAGATCAGAACCCCCACTCTGTACAGCAGACAGGAGGAAGGCTCCAGGTCCCGAGCTTGGCGGGGGTGGCTCCGTGGGGGTGGCGGTGGCAGGAGCAGTAGCGGCTGCAGACCCAGTGGAGCAGGGCAGCAGGGGAGGAGGGGCACCCCCGCTTCGGAGGAGTTACCAGCCGCCCCCACTGCAGCTTGACCGTCTGCCCTCTCCAGGCACTGCTGCACCTGTCTGGCTGCCTCTAAGCCCACTAGCTGTCGGCAGGTCAGGTGGGTGGGAGAGACCAGCACGGCGCCCCCCTAAGCAGTGGCCCAGCCCACCGACCCCTAAGGCCAGCCCTGGCTCCCTGCACTGGTCATGGGTCTGTTTAATCCCCAACTCTGCCAGGCTGCCTGCTATTTTCTGGTACACCTGATCATTTCTGGTGCTCTGACTGACGTCAAATGTCTGGCTCGCCTCACACCGCAGATTTATCAGAATCTGACGCTGGTCCAGTGACCAGCGCACTGGGCAAAGGCCTTCCTCTTACCAGTGGCCGTAGCTAACGCAGGGGACGGATCTCCCTGTTTGCAGCTCAGGGGTCAGAACACAACGGCAGGGCCAAACACCAAGCGGCCCATGGGATTGTGGGGTAGCACTAGCGGACTCTCAGAACACGAGTCTGAAGACCTGGGGTCCAGCTAAGTCCTCACTGCAAAATGATGCAGTGTGAACCCTGAGTTCCAATAGGACTGGGGCTCAGACCCCCCCACCCCCCCTTTTCGGGTCCTAGGGCCCAGGTTCCAAGGGCTTATTGGCCTAAGTCAGGCAAATTTGTGTATAGATGGAAGGGGGGGTTGGCACGAATATGAGCTCAGACCTACACTGCTGTGTAATCATATCCCACAGGCCGGGGGGAGGGGGCCTTGGGAGAGGATGTGTGTTTTTGCCTGATTTTGTAAGCAAGTCGTTTTTAAGTGAGGTGAAACTTGGAGTATGCAAGACAAATCAGGCTCCTGAAAGGGGTACAGTCGTCTGGAAAGGTTAAGAACCACTGAGTTATAGGGTCTCTCTCCTGCATGGACTATCTGATGTATATAAAGCTGTGAGCTGTGAATGAAACATTTCACACATTTGGAGTATGTATATGGTCGCTCTACCATGTGGATCCTTTAATGTGAAATATGAACTGAACTCTGACGGAAACTTTTCCCACAATCCAGGGATTAATAAGGGCTTTCTCCAACATCGGTCATCCAGTGTGTGGTAAGATGTGACTTGTTACTAAACGTTTGCTCACAAGTGGAGGCTTTTATGGTTTTTCCCCTCTCACGTGGATTCTCTGATGCGCAAGAAGATCTGAGCTCTGAATGAAACTTTTCCCACACTCCAGGCACGTATGGGGTTTTTCTCCCGTGTGGATTCTCTGATGTCGAGTAAGGTTGGAACTCCGAGTGAAATATTTCCCACAGTCAGAGCATTTATAGGGCGTTTCTCCTGTATGACTTCTCTGATGCACAATTAGATCTGAGCTCTGAATGAAACTTTTCCCACAGTCCAGGCATTTATGGGTTTTTTCCCCTCTGTGGGTTCTCTGATGTCTAGTAAGGGTTGAACTTCGAGTGAAGTTTTTCCCACAGTCGGGGCATTTATAGGGTGTTTCTCCCGTATGAACTCTCTGATGCACAATAAGATCTGAGCTCTGAATGAAACTGTTCCCACAGTCCTTGCATACATAGGGTTTCACTCCTGTGTGGCTTCTGTGATGTGTAGTAAGTTGTGAATTATCACTAACCTTTTCCCCAGAGTCGAGGCTGGTACGCACTTTTCCTCCTATGTGGATTCTCTGGTGTCTAGTAAGGTTTGCACTTCGATTGAAGCCTTTCCCACAATCGGGGCATTTATAGGGCGTTTCCCCTGTATGGATTCGCTGGTGCACGAGAAGATTGTAGCTTTGAAGGAATATTTTCCCACAGTCAAGGCATTTATAGGGACTCTCACCCATGTGTGCGCTTTGATGTGTAATAAGTTGTGAGTTGTCACTAAAGCTTTTCCCACTGTCAAGGTATTTATAGGGTTTATCTCCTGTGTGGGTTCTCAGATGTCCCATAAGGCATGATTTTATCACTAAATTCCTTCCCACACTCAGTGCATTTATAGGGTGTCTCTCCTGTATGGACTCTCTGATATCAAACTAGGTTTGATCTCCGACTGAAATTTTTCCCACAGGCCTATATGGTTTATCTCCTGTGTGGATTCTGTGATGTGAAATAAGATGTGAGATCTGAAAAAAAGTGTCTCACAGTAAAGTCATTTGTAGGGCTTCTCTCCTTTGTGGGGGTTCTCTGATGCATAATAAAGTATGCTTCTGTCGCTAAACTAACTCCCAGAGTCAGTGCATTTATAGGGTCTCTCCTCTGTGAATCCTTTGATGTCCCATAAGGTGCGAGTTGTCACTAAATCTTTTTCCACACTGAACTGAAGCTTTTGCTGTGCGTTGTGCATGTGGTTTTTTCCACTCGTGTGTGTGGATTCTCTGCCGGGCTGTGGTTTCCTTGAGGTCTTTGCACTTTTCCCCACAAATAAGGGATTTAATTACTTCCTTTCACAATTGGTTTCTCTGATGTCTCTCTGACCTGCAATGACTCTTATGGGATGTTCCCTGGTCAATGCTCCAGGAACCGTTCCATTTAGATCTTCCTGATAACGTCCCATGCAGCTCCACTTGCTTAGGAGTTCCCTACTGGAGATTCTCCTCTTCATTCTCACTCACCATCCCTTCACCTGCTGGGACACAGAGAGAATTCAGACTAGAGTCATTCCCAGTGCTAGAGTCAACAGAAAGAAAGGGGAATAACAAAGAGGAGAAAGAAAACACAAGAACTGTTGGGTAACTAAACTTTCTCTTTCTCAAAACCCCATCTGTAAGTTTTCCTTCTCTGAAGTGAGCCCCTGGTTCTCAGTGACCCATTACCACTGGGTCACTCCTCTTCATCTTAGGAACATGGAGATCAAATAAAATACATTTTTCTAGCATCCCAATGTCGTGTCAGAAGATGGAGGTGTTCTGTGAACATTTTGCCTCTCTAACGCTTACGACAACTGCCCAGGGTGAGAAGACAAGCTATACGTTCCGATGAATAAACTTTACAGAAGATTAGCCATCTCCAGGCAGGACACTTTTCCTACTTATTCATTTGGTATACAAATGAAGGTTAACGGAAAGCAAGATTCCCAATAGGTGGGAATCCTAAGTTTTCTCCATCTCTCTGTGATGGCTTCATAGGGCAAATAAAGAAGGTTTGAGATATTTCCCCTTCAACTGGAATTTAATGCAATATTTATGTGGGGTCTCCCACCGAGCACCAGAGCCCACTTCAGAGAAGGGAAAACGATGGATGGGTGGATAATTTTTACCTGTCTTCTTCTTAGGTACCTGGTGATCTATGCTCCATTACAGCAGGGAAGTAGCCAATACTACAACCAATCTCCACAAAGAAGAGGGAAACTTAAAAAGTGAATAAAATTGAGCCAACAGGAAAAACAGCTTATTTGAGGGCTTTTTTTTCTTTCTTCCTTCCCCCAAGATATGACAAAAAACCAAGAGAGAGCGCGCAGAACTCTTTGTCCAAATGCATTTCAGACAAACACCATCACATCTCTTCCCAGTGTGAGGAAAGAGAATACACTGAAGACCAGGGATATATGGCAAAATTACCTGAATGAAGGATTGTGCTGTTCTGCAAAGGAAATGACCTAAGCTAGTACTCAGACACAACCAAGAACCTGTCTAGAAAGAGAGATCCTATATCTCCCTGGTTGTGAGACAAAATAGGATTCTTGTCCTGTCAAGAGCACCATGAAGATCCAGTTATCCGAATCCCTAGAAAAGCCCAGTTTTGTGGGAAGTTTCTAGATTTGAGCAGGAAGTCCATGAGTTCTCCTGAACATTCATGCTCCAGAAGGGAAAACCTCCCTGGTTCCAGGGGAAACGCCTGAGGTGCTGTGTGCCTGGGAGTCTGAGCAAAGACTATCCTTTACCAGGAGCAAGAGAATATGAGGCAAAGCACAATATGGTGATAAAAGTACTAAAGATAATTACTCCAGCCGGGACAGGTTAGGCATTTTAGAACTCACTACTCACAGAATTAAACTGAAGTGTAAGAGAGAAATAAAATTATGAAATGCACAGACCAGTCAAAAAACTAAAATAACAGTACTGTGATCCTTAATGAACTTTGAAAGGATAAAATTACAGAGAATATATGTGCCTTGCATATTTTGACAGGAAGCACCAAGAAGTAACAATAACAACAATAATGTGTGTGTAAGAGAGAGTGTGCTGGGGGGACTGTGTGAGGGAGAGTATGTGTGTGGTGGTGGAGTGTCTGAGAGTGTGTGTGTGTGTGTGTTTGTGTGTGAGAGAGAGGGATTGTATGTGTGAGGGAGAGAGTGTGTGTGGGTGAGGGAGAGAGTATGTGTGTGTGTTGGGAGAGTGTGTGTGTGCGTAGAGGGGGGAGTGTGTGTGTGACAGTGCGCATGTGGGTTTGTGCGTGTAGGAGGGAGTGTGTGTGTGTGTGTGTGTGTGTCAGAGAGTGCATGTGTGTGTGTGTGTTGGGAGGAATGTGAGTGTGCCAGATTGAGTGTGTCAGCACTCTGTCTCTTTAAGCCGGTGATTCTCAAACTTTTGTACTGGTGACCCCTTTCACATAGCAAGCCTATGAGTGCGACCCCCCCTTATAAATTAAAAACACATTTTTATATATTTAACACCCTTATAAATGCTGGAGGCAAAGCGTGGTTTGGGCTGGAGGTTGACAGCTCGTGACCCCCCACATAATAACCTCACAACCCCCTGAGGGGTCCCAACCCCCAGTTTGAGAACCCCTGCTTTAAGCAGTGCATTCAGGAGCCTGTGGAGACCGGGTACACAGTGGGAGGAAGGGGGACACCCGACACCAGAGCCAAACACCAAGCAGCCCAGGGGATTGTGGGAGAGCACTGGTGGACTCTCTGAACATGACTCTGAAGACCTGGGCCTCAGCTAAGTCCACGCTGCAAAATGATGCAGTGTGAACCCCGAGTTCCAACAGGACTTGGGCTCAGGACCCCCCCATTTTCGGGTCCTAGTGCCCAGGTCCCGAGGGCTTACTGGCCTGAGTCAGACAAATTTGTGTCTAGATGGAAGGTGGGTGGGGTTGGGCACGAATAAGAGCCCAGACTTACATTGGCCTGTAGACAACCCCCCTCTCCCCCAGGGTCTATCTACACTGCAAAGAAAACCCCGTGGCGGTGAGTCTCCGAGCCTGGGTTTACTGACTCAGGCTACGGGGCTGAAAATAGCAGTGTAGATATTCCCGCTCTAAGAGGGGTCAGTCTCAGACCAGCCTGAGAAGGAACATATACACTGCTATTTTCAGCCCTGGAGCGTGATCTCAAATCAGTGAACCTGGGCTGACACTTGTTGCTGTGGTTTTTCTTTTTCCGGTGTCGATGTACCCTCAGACTATCATCCAGTGCTCATCAGCCTCTCTATATGGCCCAGCCACCAATCAAGGGGGGCAAAGTGCCCTACTGAGTGGGCGTGGGTTAGACAAGCAGCAGCAGAATGGGCAGGAATGGTGTCCCTAGCCTCTGTTTGCCAGAAGCTGGGACTGGGTGACAGGGCATGGATCACTTGATGATAACCTGTCTGTTCATTCCCTTTGGGGCACCTGCCGTTGGCCAGTCAGAGGACAGAATACTGGGCTTGATGGACCTTTGGTTTGACCTAGTATGGCCGTTCTTATGTTCAGAAATCAACATCTGATTTTCCCCCTACAAGTGCTTCACACTACTGTAGACCGTTCCAGGGACTGCCATGGGTTGACTCTGGCTTTGTACCAGGCTGAGAGAGGGGGCAATCAGCCGACGTGGCACCAATGTTACTCCGGATTTACACTGGGGCAGATGGGAATCAACCCCATGTGATGCCAAGGGAGGTCACTCCGGACTTACATGGGGGTGAGTGAGGGGAATGGGGCCCAAGTGACTCCAGTGGGATCTCTCCTGATTTAAACCGGACTCAGCCAGAGGAGCACAGCGCGTTTCGACTCTAGGAGAAGTCTGAGAGCGTATGACGAGGCAGAGCTAAGATGCTTTGGGTGACCTCCCTGCCTTCCCTCAGCCCACCCGGCCTGGACTGTGTGTGTAACTTTAAACGACACATTATGTGAGTTTGTAATGCTTGTGGGACCCCACTTACTGTGCACCTCACGCTTGATTTTTGGGCAATGAATAATACCTAGCTCTGAAATAGCACGGTACATCAGCCAAGGTCAGAGCATTTTGCAAAACTGGTCCCTGTTTCTCTCCATGACTGCTCCACCAGCCTTTTAAAAACAAGCAGCAGAGCTCTCACAGGGTACGTCTTCACTACCTGCCGGATAGGCGGGTAGCAATCGATCTATTGGGGATCGATTTATCACGTCTCATCTAGACGTGATAAATCGATCCCCGAACGCGTTCCCTGTCGACTCTGGAACTCCACCAGCGCGAGAGGCGGAAGCGGAGTCGACGGGGGAGCCGCGGCCGTCGATCCCGCGCCATGAGGTTGGGAGGTAAGTCGATCTAAGATACGTCGACTTCAGCTACGCTATTCTCGTAGCTGAAGTTGCGTATCTTAGATCGATTCCCCCACCCCCAGTGTAGACCAGCCCACAGACTGACTGTCTCCCTCTGCAAGAGACAGGTGAATAGAAACGCCGGCCAGAAAGGATTTCCCCTGGACACAAGGGTTTTCCGTCACAGACTCCTGGAAGGGTCTGGAAAGCTCTGGAATCTGCAGTGCTCAGGGTTGGGGAATTAACACCTGAAAGAGGCTTCCTAGACAGCCTCCGAGTCCACCAAAGGCCATTTTTTTAGTCATTATACTAGACAAAAGACACTGGACATTTAAAAAACTGAATTCCACTTTAATTGTTCCAAAGACCGAAATGAAAAGCTCCCGCCCCAGGGCCCTGCTCAGCAAAGTGCGTTTCAACTCAGCACATTACTGCTCGGGGCTCCAGCAACAGGGTTCCATCGTACAGCTGGCAGAAAAGGGAAGAGAATTCGAGAAAGACGCTGTGCCCTGAGACAGGCAGTTGGATGCTAGGTAGTCAAATGCCTCTGATTTGGGAAGTAGGAAATGGATGGTTTGGGGTTTTTTTTGACTATGGCCCGCCCTAATCAAGGCGCTGGGAGAATGTCCTTCCAGTGTGGAGGAGAAGTCTACACCGTCCCACCTGGTGTTAGCTGCATACTGCCTGCTAAGAAGATCTAAGAGGACTCTTCCCTGTGTTCATTTGTTCACGCTACGGTCAGAGCCCAGTTGAAGCTTCCCTGTCATTCAAATTCTCTCCGGTGTGGTGTTTAATAGCGCGTGGGCTGTGACTGAAACTTGTCCCACCATCGAGGCATTTATTGCAGTGGTTCGGGGGGGGGGACGGGGACAGCAGAGGTCTTCAAAGGGGTACGTGAACTCATCTAGATAGTTGCCTACTTTCACAACAGGCTACATGAGAAGCACTAGCGAAGTCAGGACAAACTAAAGTTTCATATAGATAATGACTTGGTTACACTGCTCTATATGCTATATCCATAGCTGACATGTTGGGGGGGGGGGTCATGCCAGGTCACATGATCCCCCCAGATTTATGCCAGGGTGGGAGTTGGGCTGAGCGTGGCTGAGAGGGAGGTGCCTGGGAAAGGCAGCAACAGCGAGTGCTCCCACTGGGTGCCACTAGGTGGCGCCTAGAGCAGGGAAG